ATTATATAAGTTTCTTTCATTTTTCTACTAATTAATCGTGGGGCATTAGAAATATATCATATAACCTCCTATCAATAGCTATATTTAGGAAATGGAAATCAAAACTTTACTCTTGGTGTTTACGGAGGGAATGAGAACAGGATGAAGATTCGGACCAAGCCATGGAAACAGCTTGCTAGGGAGAAAAATGATCTGGTTAGTGATATGGCTAATGCTGGACTGGTGAGGTTGGCATGCGTAAGGGTGATGGTCGTGGTGAGGAGCGAGAGTATGGGGGGCAGGGGGTGGGGTGGGAGATACTCCGTATAAGATGTTCAAGAATGAGGAAGGTGGTTCGCTGCTGATGGTCTTGCATGATGAGGACCATGGTGGGGCTGTGCTCGGCCGTATCAGTTAGCGAGCGCAGGAGGAGTGTGTACAAATGGTGACTTGGGTTTAGGGACTTTCTCGAGTTAACTTATCTAGGTAATTGAGACTCATGTAATAATTAAGTTCTATTTGGGGATAAGTAGGACTGGTGGTGGTAATTGTAATGATGCTCCGCATGTCCCATACTTCGTTTAGTATGATAGTTTGATTAATGAAAGTTTTCTACTTTCAAAAAAATAAAATAAAAGAATTTATAAGGTGCAGAGCAGAGTCAAAGAATTAGCAATTTATCTACCGGGTAAATAAAGAATAAATATTACTAATATTATTCCATGTACATACGTACCTTGTGCTGCTGATGGTGGCGGACCACTTACATTGTTAAATTGTAAATCCAACACTGACAAGTTTTGAAAAACTAATGATTCTGCATAAAGATTTTACAATAAACCCACAACTTTACCATCATAATAATAAAATTCTTTTCTAGGATTTGAAATATTGTTTAATTAAGAGTTAATGGGTGGAGCAGAGATTTATTTAGCGTACCTTCGTCTGGAATCCAACCAGCAATTCCATTGCCGCATAAGTTGAGACTTCTTAACTCCTTAAATGGGTGAAACAAGGTGGTGTTTAAATACCACATGTTTTTCTCGTGATATAAACTAGGAGAATGTAAGTCAAACTGCCTGATGTTGTCGAGGGAGAGGTTTACTGCACGGCCCGTCGTGGAGTTGCAAACGACCCTCTCCCATTTACAGCAATCATCATTTGGGTCATTAACCCACGAAGGAAGAAGATAGTCTGCATCATGGCCATCTGATTTAACAAATGCCTTGAATTCTAGAAGAGC